ATACAGCAAAGTAACAAATCGAGTTTCCACTTTACCCTTTAAACAAGCGTCTGCAAGATTTAAAAATAAAATGAATAAATGCTTAGATGGGAATCTGGCGCTAGTGTCTACGCGGGCTCTTTCAGCAGCACATGTACCCTCATGGGAATAACGGGAAGTACCAGCTTCGGATTCGCTTCAGATGGATTACGTTCTTAAAATTCGCGACACAGCTTTTCCGAGTTTCTCAGATAAGCTCATATTTAATTTAAACTTGCTTCATTTATTTGTACGCAAACTTTATTGCAAAAAGTTTTTGTGAGCAGGCAGCAAAAGTCAAACCTGGGCAAATTCAACCGTCAGGGTATGCGTTGCTTTGCCACTGCGTTGCAAATTTGGCATAAAAATTCAATAAATTATTCTTTACAACACTTGAAAACAAACATGCTTGTTTTTCTCTAAAAAGTACGCATTATCCATTTATATAAATAACAGTACAGTATTAAGTAAGAAACGCCTAACATTTCGTATTCTGCGATGGTAGGTGCGTCTGTAGTGTTCTGCCCCCAAAGAACCGCTGGTTTGTTGTGAAGTCGAATCAGCGGAACATGACGGTGCGTATACTTAGCTTCGTCATCGTTTTGCAGTCGATTCAAACCAAGTTTAGGCAGGACGCGTTCGTGAAAAAACATCAACTCGGTGCAATATCCTGCACTGGCATGAGACGATACATCTAGGCTCAGTGGTGAGTGGACGACGCTTCGTTTAAACTCTCAAATACGACTCGTAAAGCTCAAACGTTGCAGCAAATCATGAGACCTAGCGGTCTCAGCATGTTTGAACAACAAAGGCGCTGCTTCAGTGCTTTGCACCCCACTCCACTACCGCCGCTTCGCGAAGAACGAAACTGATACTGTAGAAAAAAAAATGCCGCCATATCCACGAAGTGAATGATGATGAGTGGGCGAAGCTCCGGAGGTAAACCTGGTAAACCTTGAATCCTCCGTACATTTTGCCCACTCGATTTTATTGCAACGCTCCCCCTAGCGTACGTCGCCGCACTATATAGAACGATGACACGCGCCATATGTGGCATCATTCCTATTTTATAACACCTCGCATCTTTCATAATCAACTACACGTACCGCCGTCTAGTTTATAACATCTTGCATCTTTTGGACGGACGGACGGACGGACGGATGGATGGACGGACGGATGGACGGATGGATATGGCTGTACCCTTTAGATCGGGCGGTGGCTAGCGTAATACTTAGAACTGAACGAGAGGTGGCTACATACAGGGGACGCACAACCCACGCCTTAAGGAGCTTCGCTCCTAAAAGTTTTTAGAGAGTTCGCTAGCTAACCCTATGCAATCCGAAGCCTGTACTTCCCGTACATCCCATGGAGGTACACGATCGCAGTGACAGATTCCTCTCTACGTATTATTGTATGAAAGAAACTCTATGCCTAAGACACACCATCCAGCCCCAGGCACGACACTCCAGCGTTCTAAAGAAAACAGTGTTGACCTCTGTAAACGAGCACACGGTTGACGCCTGTCAGCACGCTAAAGCCGTTCACGCAGGTTAGCTCTTTGTAACTACAGCAACGCATTCGGAGCCCTCTTTTGTGATGGTTTATAATTTGAGTATCTTAAGATAACTACTTCTTACAGTGACAAATACCTGTTTCGTAGCAGTGGCATCTTTCAATCTGCTTTCACTCACTGGCATGGCGTCAGACATTAAACTCTTACGGGCAAATGTTGCCCACAAATGGTAACCAAAGACAAAAACTAGTTTAGTAGTGAAATATCAGCTTTGAGTGGAGTGTTTCTCTTCAAATGTCTTCGGGCAGTACGAAATCAAGAGCCGCGAACATTAATCGTTCATTTAGCGAAGGTGCTAACCCATAACTCGCGTTCTTTTGAGAGCACGGGCGACCAATGTAAGACGGCCGCTTTCAGTGCTACCACACAAGTTGAGGCAATGCCTTTCGTTTAATGTCCCCTGTAGCGAAACTCCACATACATTCGTCGCGCACAAGGCCATATGCGGCTTGATATGAAGTACCCTTGCAGCGTAGAATCCGGTGTTTACTGCTCAAAAAGCCTGCTTGATGTAGTTTCCGAGTTTCGGATTTAGTATGACGCCTTTTATTAGTGGCAAGAGAATTGTTTTTCTTAAAGACAGTTATTTTGAGGCACTTTTTAGAGCGAAGCTGCTAGGTTCCCGTTGCGCTTAGCAGCGTTGCCATCGCCGTTGCCATAGGTGGCATAACCAATAGATGCGATAAAATAAATGACAGAAAGGTTCTCTGCATGGCAGTTGAGTAATTTATCACAGACCCAACGTTAATGCTTGAAACTAATTTGCAAAAAGACCCTATATGCGGTAGTCATTTATAAGGCTATAGGAATCGCGCTAACCTACGTATTATAGCGCGGCAGGGGACTAAAATAAGAAGCAGTCACCACGGAATACTAATTGCGCAATGAGTGTTTCGTTTACTGATTTACACCCACTGCAAAATGCTCAGCCCCAATTCTTCATCGTCATCAGTTGCATGCAGCAGCAACTAAATGCAAATAATACCTTACAGATGTGTGGCGGGTACTTCGTTTATACCGCCCGCCGCGGTGGCCGAGTGGCGAAGGTACTCGCTGCTGACCCGCAGGTCGCGAGATTGAATCCTGGCTGCGGCTGCTGCATTTTCGATGGAGGCGAAAATGCTGTAGGCTCGTGTGCTCAGATTTTGGTGCCCGTTAACGAATACCACGGGGTAGAAATTTTCGTGGCCCTCCACTACAACGTCTCTCAGAATCTTATGGTGGTTTTGGCACGTTAAACCCCACATATCAATGAATAATTCGTTTATACGAAGAAAAACGAATAATGGTGTTGCTTGTGCAGTGCTGCTTCATAATAATTAAAATTTACGGGTTGATTGATACTTCGCAGAAAGCCAGAACTTCAAACACAGTTGGTCTTGCCCAACAAGAAGCTGAGCTCAGAATTTGAATTAAACAATATCATAACACGCGGTGGGTTTCTTTTCTTTTCCTAGCACTTTCAGTCGAATGATACGGTTTCAAAAAAAATCAAAAAATGAAATCATGCAAAATATACTACTGTCGAAAAACCTACCGTTCTGCTTCAACTTGAAAGTTACATTTGATGCAGGGGTTATCGGACCATAAGCTTACGTAAGATGAGCTAGCCGCAATGATAATTAGAAATAACCAAACAAGCTCAATGAAACAGACGTGCGTGTTCCTGTGGTTCCCGTGCGGCATCGTTGTGGCACCTGGCGGAAGAGTTCTCAACCACGTTCTTTCCGCTACGCAGCCTCTGAGATCAGCTTTGACAGCGTGAAGCACAAAGTTAATCCAAGGAACAGACCAGACTAAGGAACGCCTACGTGTCACTAACAGACAGCTATATCAAGGATTAGGGTCGATCCCAATATATTTCGGCATAAATACGAATTTTCTTTAAAAAACACACGTACGTTCGCGGCCAATTTCACATTCATAAGTTCTTCATTTGATAAATAAAAAAAAGAACAACGCGCCTAGATGTCCCATTAGAAGTGTGTGTTTGTGATGATAGGGGTGTGCAGGTTCCTCCACCAGGAGAAAGGGGGATGGGGAGGTTGATCGCAGTGCTCCCCCCTACTTAGTCCATGTGCGCAGCAGATTTTTCACCCCCCCCCCCTTTCAATGGTGAACAGGAGGGGGCAGCTCCCTTTCCCCTCTGCCCGCCTTGTGCGCAAGCCTATGTCTGTGATCGCTCACTTATTAACCTCGACCCGAAGATCGATGTGCGGCGGGCGTTTTACACCGGCCCATGCTCCCCAGTATATTTACACGGGGGCAAAAAATAACCATGGCGAAGTCGAGAATCTTCACGCATAACGGTGAAACAAACAGCACCTGTTGTGCTCTCACTGCGAAAACATGCGTTTCGTACGACTGATAAGGATAATACGACACTTCGAAAAACAAGTAAAACTATAGCTCATTTATTTAGTAAGGTAAACTCTCGCGTGTATTTGATGACAATGAACCCGCATAACTCTCAATCGGAGAAAAAAAACTTGATACCGCATTTTTTCGTTATATTGATTCCCATTATTAAAATTTAGGCTATAAATTATCTACTTCATCACTATGGTTCGCGTTATGGTTCATCGATGTGTTTGTCCCGGTTCTCACCATCATAAACAGCATCACGTGGCCCAATCAAGTGTTTATATCTAGATATGCACAGAAACACACTTGCGCCGGCGTGGGAACCAATAAACGCCGTAAACAGTCGTAAAAATAAAAACGCAACTTAGTTGCAACAGGCAATAAATAGCACGAGAAGATAAGTCTTCCCTAGGAACTGAATGTCATCTGGACTCCTTATGGCAGCGGGTTCTTGTTGATGGGTTGAAAGCTACGATTTACAGGTAGAAGCTCTTTTACGAGGACCGTGGCTGGCAAGGCACAGCCTATAGCTTCTGTCGCTTTTTCGCCATTAAACCCAACCTAACTATTTCATGACGAGGGCGAATGCCGGAAGCATCGCTGGCCTATAAAAGTGTTCTGGCGTCATCACGCAACCTCTCATTCGAAAGTCGTGGGACATAACGGCTGAGGACCAGATTGGTGACCCGTTGTGTTGGCCCTGTGTAATTACTCAGCCTGCTAGTCAGTCCACACTGATGTTTCAAACACTTACGGATCATATCTTATCTCAGTCAGCTATTAATTACCCTGAGTGTTAATATATACCACAGAGATAGCTCAACAGGAAGTGCAGCGACTGCTCCAGGTTAGATAACCCTATGTTTTCAAGTCTAGTACCCCAAGAACATTTGAACAAAAAGAAGTGACGTTTCATTTGCATTCGCCGCCGCTTCTTTTCGTTGAATAAATGTCACACCTTTCCAAAGCTAGCAGCTGAGTAAGAAAGTTAAACAGAAAAGGCTGGCACCCCGTTCCATTCTGCGCGTTTCTTCTCGTAATTCGTTTTAACGCTCAATTTGGCCGCAGCTATCGCAACCGTAAAAGGGAGCATCGTTTTCACAAGAGTGCTGCTTCATTTTTTGCCAACGACATGGGAAAATGCGTAGGCAAAGACTTAGTCACGCAAACATGTGCGCAATTGCAAACTCATTCTTCGATTCCAAACTGTCTACTATTTAGCCATATCATTAACTTCCCTTTGAAGCTACCATTTTGCCGTTTCTTAGCCATCTATCGCGCGCATTAAGATTTGTGTATAAATACTCTCAAAACGTCATCCTATAACATGCGGAACAATCGCTTTATCGCGTCTATTGCACTTAAGGCCTTAACTGATTATTACATTACCGCTTTGAGACACCGGCATCGGCCATGAATAATGTTTGGCATCCTCAAGTTTAAACACTTGTTTTTTATCGCTAGATCATACTTTCGGTTATGATTAAAACAACAACAACAAAAACAAAGCCGATCACGTACAGTATAGCATGATGCTAACTTAACCATATCTCTCGTTCAATTCGATGCATCTAGGCGTGCTGTACATGAGGTTTCCAGTACGGAATCTCCAATAGACCGCACATCTAGAGTGTGGTATCCAAAGGGGTAATGCTCGTTACGTTCCGCTAGCGCTTTCAGACGGTGACGCTTCGGGGCGTCGAGTGAGGTCATCGGGTGTGCGTACAGCCAAGTCCTGGACGTAGTCGTCGATCGTCGAGCCCCTGGGTCGGTTGACGGCGGCCTCCCTACGCAGCTGGGCGATCCTGTTGGCGGTCGCCTCTAACTGCGAGCTCACCAGGGCCGACAGTCGCCGGTGCTGGCTCAGCTGGTCCAGGTACATCGGCGACGAGTTTTCCAGCCTTCACGAGCACCAAGATGGAGAGAGGGATAAATAAATTAAACGTCAGAATATGTGATTTGCAATAGAGGCACTCAAATGCCAGCTTCGAATTTCAAGTGATCGGGTTCTCTGCCTGTCTTTTTTTGAGATCACGATTGAGTTCTTCCTTTCTCTCTGACTGTCCTGTTTGGACGAGCTCGCTGACCAGTTCTTCCAAGTCGAACTGTACTTCCCCAAACGGCGAGGAAACACAAATTGCAGGAAGGTTTCGCATTGTCCGACACCAATTCTGCAACTACAAGTGCGCGAAGTTTCTAATCTAGTTCGATGAAAACATGAAATCTCGCATTCGCAAAAGAAAAAAAATGGGTCCCATATTTCCCTCCCTCCTCTCCAAAAAAAGTGTGGTCAGTCGTATTAAAAGCATAGTTTGCAAAAGGTACGGCGCGCGACTCGTTACACGTCACATCAAGCCACACCGTACCTGATTCCCTTGTAAGGAGACGAGCTGGACAAGGATTGCTGGCCGCCGTCAGGTGTCTGGACCTCCTTGTCAGCCCTCCCGAGGACATCGACCATGAGGAGACTACTGTCGCAGCTTTCCTGGAGAACTATTGAAAGCAGATTGCACGTCTGCATATACTAGCACTGAAATGCTTCTTGGATGCTAATACGTCTATACACGAGTACTCTACTTAGGGACAACTTTTGTCGGCAATCAAGGGACAGCTAGGGACGCGGAGCTTGTGCTTATGTACCACTACGCGCAGTAGTCCGGTTTGGCACGCGTATTGTATCGCTATGAAAAGTGGTCGCTTCGTGCAATCAGCGATGCATTTAAGGTACATTTCTGATAAATAAAAGGCACATTTCTGATATCCCACGCAGGGAAAACGGATGCAGTTGCGTGACTACATTCATTAGCGGCAGGACACACGCAATTTAGCTCTGCAGCCTCCACTTCATTGCCAGAAAAAAATGTCCGTGAATATAGCATCGAAGTAGTTCGTACATACGTCTTCAGCCAGTACATTGCATGAAAACAGAAAATAATGAATCCGGGTTGCAGTGCGAACGTACCTCACTTGACGACCGTGCAAACTGCAGCTGTCGCAACGCTGTCGAGCACATCACCCGCCGAAAAAAAAAAAAAAGCATGCATTTCGTGCTGCCTCACTCTCCAGCGCCTCTCCTGATGTGATCTTACGGCACCTTCCGTACTGAACGATGGATTACTGAAAACATTGGTACTGCCTTGCTGCCTTGCTGTTGGTGGCTACTTTGCACCAAGCTGACTAATTTACGATACCGCCTGGCACCCAAAATTCCAGCTTTGCGTCGTAAAGTAGCCAATCCTTTACTTATTTACAGGTAATATACCCTCCTTCTAAGCATCTTGTTTTTGTCCTGTCAAACGACGTGCGTAGCGTCCTTCCGTATACATTGGCAGAATAAAGGCACCAAAGCAACTCGCCGCAGGCGTGCAAAAACGGAGTCATGAAGTTGCTTGACGATGAAGCTGTTTGAGATGAAGTTGTCTGAAATATTCCAATATCGCTCTGTATCTCGCAAGAAATCTATCTATTACATATAAACTATAAGCAAGTGCACTGCATTTATTATAATTTATTCACTCATTCGCAACCTATTTGTGATTTAAAAA